CCCCAAAACCCCAAAACCCCAAAACCCCATTAAGAAAATCTTAAGTTAAAATAAATTATGAAAATATTAAACCTTATTTTAAAAGAGTCATCATTGGGCGTTATTATTCAACATCCATTTTATAAGAACCACCCACTTCTTACACAATATTTCATCATCACAACCTAGCTCAACATAGTTATCTTCTGGATTTTATTATTTCTATTACTATTATAATTGCTACTCCTATTGCTATTGTGAATTAATAGAACATCTGAAAGAATTTATTGATTCCATATTAAATAAGTTTCTATTGATACTGATTCTTTCTTGCATCTTTTGCTGAATGCTCTGAGTATCAATATCCATCATCATGATATCTTCTTTGTTCAAATTTATACTGTTCATTTCACTCGAGAGCACTGATTTCAAGTCTTCTTCATTGTTCAAGATGACTGTATTGGTGCAGAAATCTGATGAGTCAACAGCTTGAATACCTTCTATATCAATAGAACCGTTGAAAGAGGCTTTGCTCAATCTTGAAGATGTTTAGAATTCTCTCTTACCTATTGATTGCTACTACTTATTTCTTGTTTGAGTTAATTGGCAAAAGAAATTTTATTAAAGATGCTTGTTCAGACTTGGAATGCTGAGTTGAGAGTCATTAAACTCGTTTTTATTTAGGGGAGTTTTAAGCAAAATCTTGAAAGTATATTTTTTCTGTTTTATATTCTTATTGCTTGCATAATTAGTTCTTTATGATAAGGCATTGCTTAGATGGATGCTCTCAATTTTTTCAATATTAGAGAGCTGAATTGTAAGTATTTTATTTAGGTTTAATCTCTAATCATCACTATTGCTACTTCCGCTGTTTTATTTATTGATTCCAGGAGGAGTTGTTTTAGGATCTAATGACACAACTTGCAATTAATCTTTCATAAGCTTTAATTACTTCTCGTCCCATATAATAGAATGATCCAGCTGTTCTTATTTCTTCTATGAATAGTAAGCTTTTGATTGGAATATGAAATTATCTGTAGTTGATGGATTTGTCTGCTGCTTTTAGATTATTAAAGTTGGTTTGATCATGATATCAAGGAATCTGCAGTAATCTTTCTCATTCTTGAATTCAGAGAATCTTAGCTTGTCATATAGCGACATCTTGCCTGTACTGGAGGCACCGATTCCTCCTGAACTGCTATTCTATGAAGTAGCCATTTTTACTTTGACCTTGATAGCCTGAGATAATTTTTAAGTCAGCATTTTTTTCTTGTTGGATAAAGTATCAATAATTGGTGGAGGAGGATGATTGATATCTTTTGAAGTTATTTTGCTTGCTAATATCACCTTATTTTAGGCTTTTTGGAGTCTATGCATATTCAAGCTCACCTTTACTGGACTATGATTCTTTTTAGGCGTTTCGATAGTTAGTTTGGGAGGTGACTAAACAACAGTAGAGCCTTTCAGCAATTTAATTTAAGTTTCTCTATCTATATTAATACTTTCTATCTTAATAGTTCTATTTTTGCTAGCAAGCTTATTAATCTGAAAATGCCTGTCTAACTCATTTACTATACCCTTAAGATCATCATCTTCTATATCTATATCAGTCAGCATTCTCTCAAAATCCTTTTCTTAGTGTAACTTTCTATTCCAGTTGACCTTGCTCAGGTTCTCTGAACTCTTACTGTTAATCTGCCTCTTGACTATAGTCTACTGCTACTCTGGTAGCTTTTCTTCTACTTTTATTTTCATAATGGAACTCTTATCTTTTTGATTGACAGATTTCTGGGGTGAATCCTCTTGAGACTGGCTAAGATTAATCACATGGACTTTGGTTTACTTCATAAAGAAGTTTGGTTAGTGAATATCTATCTTCAACTTCTCTTACTCATCCAACTCTTCCTTCAGTTCATCAAGCACATTTGCAAATTACTACTATATAAAATTCTTTTCTGCGTCTTTATTCTTGCTTCTGTATTCTCTTTAATAATTCAACCTAAGTATTTTTTCGTTTTCATTTATTGCTACTATCCTAGGATCTCTCAATAATGGAACTTAGGACTTAGATTCTCACTTTAACTATCTATTTGAATCTGTTGAGATGTTGTTCAGGTTCTTATGAGAATCAAGACTGAATAAATTTGGCTTAGATTATGAAGTTTTGCGAGTATCAGGGTTATAAAAACGACTATTTCTCTCTTACTCCAACTTTTTAATGCTCTATATAGATTCATAGTTGAGTCTAATGATAGGTGGAGAGGACTTTCCCATTTCATAGTCATGATTTCTCATTACTGAATGGTATTGCTACTCTCCTTGTATGAAATTTACGCAATTCTCATTGACTTGTCTTGAGCATAATGCACCCATTGATTTCTCTAATAATTTTTAATTGCTTCAATACTCATTATTGAACAGGCTCGGGGTTTTGGGGTTTTGGGGTTTTGGGG